AAGTGGGGAGTGATTGTCAACGGAAACTCTCGGGGGTTGTCAGATGAAGATGGTACGTGGCAGCCTGGCACAACGTATCAAGTGGTACTGAAAAAGCTTAGCGAATCGTTGTATGTGTACGTTGACAATAATGAGCTTATTCAGGAGGATGTTGCACCCTTTGAGTACACCCCACGCGGTGTCTTGGACTTCTACGTTGGCGGCGACAGTGCGAAGGGGACAGGCGAGGTTGACGTGACGGTGGGCAATGTCCTGCTGTACAACGAGGCACTGGGTGATAATAGGCTCACGAGCCTCAGTGTCAGCAAAGTCACACTTCCAACACCGGCTGCTGAGGGGCCACTCACAACGCTGGGGAATGATGGGGAGATTGCCTCCAAGATGAAACCTGGAGAAAAGAGGGTTGGTGACGGTTTGAATCCTAAAGGACCTCTACCAGAGGAGGCCCATAAAGGCAATCACAGTGCTGCTGAGGAGTCTGGGTCTTCGCCGGCTTCATCATCGCCGGCTTTGTCATCACCGGCTTCGTCATCGCCAAGGGTGCGCCTGGCTGATGGACCCGACGATGGCAGCATGGCTGACGGTGGATCCGAAAACACCAGCGCGATTCTTGCGAAGGACGCACCCAGCATTTCTCTTTCTGGTGACAGCTCCGTTGCTTTCGACAACCTTACACGTGTGAGGCCCCATTCCGTAAGGGGTGACGGCACGATGCGTGGGTGTGTGTCTCGGCTGCTTCTGCTGCTATTGGGGCTATGGGGCTTTGCGGCCCTGTGCTGAGTGGACCCCGGTGGAGGGGAGTTTGTGCTTCTACTGAGAGCATCTCCGTCTCTCCACTCACTTTTTAAACTAAATAAAGTCTCATGTAGACATACATTTTGTTTTATTTTCCGCTTTTTTAAATTTACGCAAGACGTTTTTTTTTTTCTTGGGCACACAAATTGCGCTCTCCCCTCAGCACTAGCGCGGCGCAATCCTCATGTATTTATTTTATTGTGTCCATTTTTGTTTGTTATATTGTTTGTTTGTAGCAATGACTGGAGACCAGTCACTGTTTTTTTTTGTGTGTATTGGTTCAGTATATTGTTGGTTTATTGATTTGTGGATGTGTTATTTTGTTGGTTTGCTGGTTGTTTTGTCGGTTCGTTCTTGGCGACGGCGTTGAGCCTGCGCGTTTGTCTGGCAGTATGAGATGCTTCACTGCGCCCCTACACTGCTGTCGTCGCAGGAGGTACCGGGGCTTTCTTTTTTACGTCTTGGTTTTTCGCGGTGCGGACGTGTGCCACGGTGCTGGCTGACTCGCAGGCCACTGAATTCGGTCGAAAAGACACGAAGAAAAACAACTAACCGCTTCTTGGGCGGCTGCGAACGCTCTCGGCATTGTGTGCCCGCCGATGGGAGAAGGAAAGAAGGAAGGAAGGAATGAGAGCCACAGCAACGCACTGCAGGCCCCTGTGGAAGTTAAGCGTTGTGTGGACACCGGGGCCTTCAGTGGTTGAAGCGAATATGTAATTTATTTTTATATGCGGCCAAAATGTGAATAAAAACTGTGGGGATTGCACAGGGGCCTTCCACGACATTTTTTTTTTGTTTTGTGAAAACGTTTTTAGAAGTAATTTTTTTTTTTTTGTGTAAACGAAGCATCTTTAGTAGTAAATTTTTTTTTTGATTGAACCATATTACTTGTGTGTTGCCACTGCGCGTGCTGCGGTGCCATTTTGAGTTTTAGTTATCTCCTTTTTTTTTCCTTGCGCACTGCATCTCTTCTGTGTGTGTGTATGTGCGTCCTCACAGTCTTTGCTCCTCTTTCTTCTCTCTTATTTTTGTATCTCCAGGCACACTCATACACGACATATATTTACTGCAGTGCACGTGGAGGATGCCTTCGTAGTTGGTGCTGGCAGTTGCCGTCTGTGGCTATGAAGAAGGCGAGACAACGACAAAGGAATAGTGTGCGCTGTGACTCACTCCCTTTCCTTGCGAAGGCAGCGTGCTGAGGGAAGTGGGAGTGTTGCTCTGAGTGGCGTGGTGTCTTGCGCACGGTGTGCAATGGCGCAGTGGTGTGGATGCCGCGCTTTTCGATGACTGTTAGCCCACTTCCCGTTTGTGTGTGCGTGTGCGGCGGGGTGGTTGTTCGCGTTGGGTGTTTTGTGTTGGTTACGGGGCATTGCGGTTATTTCTTGCGGCTGCGGAGGTAAGCTGGCGTTGATCGCTGCTCTTCTTCATTGTGGGGGGTTATCTGTGTTTTGTGGGGGGTTGGTTTCTCTT